CCACCCAATGGGTACTTACTGAGCTCCTGCCCCAACCCCGGGGTTTGCTGTGCCGTGAGGAGACAGACGGGGACCTCTCAGCCCCAGGACCCTGTCAGGTTGTTCCCAGCACCCATTTAAAAGCTTCCACGATGGGATGCAGGCTCCCGGTCACCCCCAAAGAAATCAGTTATTAAAGCAGCTTTTATGTCCTTTTCAACCCCTATAACTGGTTCTGCCTTTTGGAAGCACAAGAGATGCACCAGCTCCTTCTTCCCCTCGGACCTTCACTCATTCGTCCATCTCTCGTTCACTCAGCAGTATTTACTGAGCACCTACAATGTGCCAATCTCTGTTCTCAGTGCCGGGGGTACAACTGTGAACGGCACCGACCCAGTCCCCGCACTCAGAGCTCAGAGCTGAATGGAGCAAATATGCAAACAAGCAGGTAGTTATAAGCCCAGGGGAGGCCTGTGGGAGCCCCAAGGAGGGGGCCTCACCTGATCTTGGGAGCAGCAGTCTTGCCAGAGGGAACAGTCTTGAGATAAGACTTGGGAGGTTAGGGCAGTTATCTTGGCGGGCAGGGGGAGGCGGAGGCGTGCTTGGAGGCAGAGCGAACAGCATGTGCTAAGGTCCAGGGGTGAGAGGGGGCCTCTGGGGGGCCTGGAGCTCTCCCACGCCTGAGCTGCAGACCTGTGCTAGAGGCAGAGAGGCACGAGACGGGTGGGAGGCGTTGAAGGAGTCGGCGGGGGCTGCACAGGGCATGCTGAGGAGTTTGGAATGGTCTAGATTTTATCCCAGAGGCACACTGCGGAAGGCTGGAAGACAGAGAGCCCTCCCACGACTTGCCCCCAAGCCTTCCCCTCCCTCTCCCCCTCCCCATTCCCCCCTCAAATAACCAGGCATCCAGACCCTGGGGCTCCCTGGTTTTTCCAGCTGTTACAGTTTGCCAGGAGCTGGACCCCTGGCTTCTCTGAAGGGCTCGGAGGTGAGGGATTGAGGGGTGCCGAGTTCACCCAGGACGAGGGCTACCACCCTCCTCGCTGGCATCCTCCTTCCCATCCTGCCCCGCAAGTCCATTCTCCACAGACCGCCGCCCCCCCCGGCCCCCGGGATCTTCTCAACAGCCAGACAGGCCCCGTCCCTTCCCATCGCCCTCCCAAGGCCAACCAGGCCCGTGTGGTCAGCCCCGGCCCTGCTCCCCTGTCCTCCCTCTAGGCCTCACTACTCTCCCACCACGTGGGCCATCTTCCTTTTCCCCAAACATTCTGAGATGCTTCCCACCTCAAGGTCTGTGCACGTGCCGTTCCCTCTGCCTGGAAGGCTCTTCCGCACCGACCCCTTGCAGGCTGCTCCCTGGGGCCCTCAGGTGTCAACAAAGCTGGCGTCTCCTCCAGACACCAGGGGTGGCACTTCCGCCCTTCATGCCTTGGTGGCACGGCCACGGCCTGTCATTACTTGGTGTTTGTGACTGTTCGCTGTCTGCCCCTCCCCCAGCCCCCCAGCAGACCGGGAGCTCCTGCTGTCACACCCCCAGCATCGAGAACACTGCCAAGCACGGAAGAGGAAGCCAGCGGATACGTGTTGAATGAATAAATGACGTTGTTCAAACGTTTCCGAGCCAAATGCTCTTCGGCTGTAAAATGATAATCCCAGTCCCCCCTCCCCAGGGTTTTCGGGGGTCCTGAGACGCTGTATGTGAAGCCCTCGGAGTCAGGTACGGCCGGTGGCGACTGCTCGGTGACCGCCAGCCCTCACGCCACCTGCGGCTCCAGCTAGCAGGACGCTTGAGAGCACAGATTCCGGACCCAAACTGCCCGCTTCCTCCACGTCTGGGCTGGTGACCTTGGGCACGTATGGAGCCAAACCTTCATCTATGTAAAGCGTGCGCTGCTGTGAGGATGAAAGAAACGGACACCGTGGCGATCTTAGCAGGTCCCTGGTGATGGAGAATACCACAGAAATGGCAGCTGAAGTTACTCGGCACACGTCTCTCTGGCTCAGCTGGAATTCCCTGGAAAACAGAGCTGGGGGCCGAGCTCGCCCTGACATTTGACTGTGGAGTGCAGTCCCAGGAAGCAAGAGTGAGAAGAGGGAGAGGCTGGCATCACCAAGCCAGCCACAGCTGCCTGCTCGCTCAGGCAGGATGTCCTGGGAGAGGCCGTGAGACCCCTTCCTCCCAGACCAGTCTGCCTGCAGAAGGAGGCGAGGCTGACTCATCTCCTGTCCCACCCTGGTCAGTGTTCTTCCCTGGTGGGTGTCGACTGCTCCCCATACTCTTAGACCGTGCTGCTTGGGACAGCCACTGGAGAAACCAAAGCATCTGAGGATCCTCTTTGTGTGAACCTGGGGCCCCAAGTCCAAGGGCAAAACGGGGGCTTCGCTGAAGCCAGACCCTCGCCAGGGGCCGGGAGGTCCGGGGGTGGGGCGTGCAGAGGTGCGGGGATGTGACAACAAGGGAGGCGGCTGGTGGTTTGCAGCCCTGGGGACAGAATGCTGCTTTGCTGGGGAAAGCAGCCGAGGCCCCAGGAGCAGGTGGGACCGTGTGGAGCCCGGAGTGACACATAAGCTGGGCTGGCGCCCTCACTCCGCACCACCTGCACGGCTACCCACCCCACCATCTCCACGACAGGCCCGGTAATCGTCCCACACCAGCTTGTGGGAAACAAATCCATTACTATTTCTAAAGCACTAGGATCAGTGCCCTGCGTACAAAAGCACCACCTAAGAGTTTGTGAACAAGTGAACGAATCTGGTATTTTTCGTGGAAAGGGTGCGGGTGGTTTCCGGTCTGTATTTGATGTATTTGACTTTTCTTCGGCCAGCGTTGGATAGATGGCGGCTCCCTTCGGGGCGAGGGTGTGGCACGCGGGCCGGCCTCGCGCCGCTGCTCCCAGCGCCCTGGCTGTGCAGTTGCCACCCTCGGCGGCCGTGGCTGCTGCAGGGACTCCGCCATTATCCGAGAGTCAGAACCGGTGCTCCAAGTGTCATTTCAAACTAAAATAAGACGGGGGAGTTCATTTATGCCGAGACTACGGTATTTTCCCAAGCTGCCTGCAGGACAGAAGAATCAAAAATTTATCCCTAATCGCATTTTGCTGAATTTCGCCTCAGGAGATTTCCTCCCCGCAGGAGTTTGGAAGGATTCCAGTCTGTGCTGCACCCCTTCCTCAGCCAGCCTCCTGCCTCTCTTCTCCTCTTCGGGGACTCTGCAGCCACAGCCCGTCTTCTCTTCTTCCTGTCTTCACCCCGGAGACATGTCTGGACACTGGTCACCCCACCCCAGGCAACTCTGGGAAGGAAAGGGAAAAAGCAGACAGCCCCATAATCAACTTCCCCTCCCTTTCCCCCTCCTCCCGCCTGTAGATGCGTGAGAAGACAGAAAAACAGGGCACTAAAAGATGCTAAAAATTAAGGGGGGTGCACAGAGAGGTGGTGAAGCAAGGTCCAGGACACTAGATGATACAGCGATAACAACAGTTACGCATTTAAAAAGCAATGTATGTTTATGAATGTGTATTATGTAAATGCAGGAAGAAAAGTCTAGAAAGATACCCAACAAACTTTTACCAGTGGTTCCTCTGGAATGGGGCATGCAGTGAGAAATAAGAAAAACAAAGAGGGGACTTCTGATTTCTGCTCCATGCGTACTTCTCCGCTGTTTACATTTTTTAAAAGTAACTTTTTAAATTTTAATTTAAAACATTAAAAGGGGATATCCAGGGCTTCCCTGGTGGCACAGTGGTTGGGAGTCCGCCTGCCGATGCAGGGAACACGGGATCGTGTCCCGGTCCAGGAAGATCCCACATGCCGCGGAGCGGCTGGGCGCGTGAGCCATGGCCGCTGAGCCTGCGCGTCCGGAGCCTGTGCTCCGTGACGGGAGAGGCGACAGCAGTGAGAGGCCCGCGTACCGCAAAAAAAAAAAAGGGGGGGGGGGATATCCAATGAGATTAAAAATAAATTCAAACTGTATTATATCGCTTTTTGGCAAATATGTGGGGAATTGCTATATGCTACCGATGGGAGTGTATACTGATAATCACCTGGTGGATGATTTTTCAGTATTTGTGGAAATTTAAATACACAAGCCAGCACCCAGCACCTCCATTTTTCTGAGATGCGTGCACTAAAGAGACAGGCAAGGACATCCACTGTGGGACTGTCCACAATACCAAAGACCGACATCTGGGCTCTTCGTCTTTACCCTTGTTGAAGAATAACCCAGCCTCCCTCGACACGTGCTCCGTGTCACTCCCACCCAGGGGTTAGGGGTTTGGGCAGCTGGGCCAGGCCCCTGCCGGCCTTGTCTCCCACCACTGGCCCCGTTCTCTGCTTCTGGCCACAGCTGTCCCCATGGCGCCAGCAGACCCCGTGAGATTGAGAACCGTGTCATCTTTTTTTAAAATTTAATTTTATTTATTTTTTTATACAGCAGGTTCTTATTAGTTATCCATTTTACACATATTAATGTATACATGTCAATCTCAATCTCCCCATTCATCACACCACCCCACTTCCGCCACCTTCCCCCTTTGGTGTCCATACGTTTGTTCTCTACATCGGTGTCTCTATTTCTGCCCTGCAAACCGGTTCATCTGTACCATTTTTCTAGGTTCCACATATATGCGTTAATATACGATATTTGTTTTTCTCTTTCTGACCTACTTCACTCTGTATGACAGTCTCTAGGTCCATCCACGTCTCTACAAATGACCCAATTTCCTTCCTTCTTATGGCCGAGTAATATTCCAATATACCACATCTTCTTTATCCATTCGTCTGTTGATGGGCATTTAGGTTGCTTCCATGACCTGGCTATTGTAAATAGTGCTGCAATGAATATTGGGCTGCATGTGTCTTTTGAATTATGGTTTTCTCTGGGTATATGCCCAGTAGTGGGATTGCTGGGTCATATGGTAGTTCTATTTGTAGTTTCTTAAGGAACCTCCATACTGTTCTCCACAGTGGCTGTATCAATTTACATTCCCACCAACAGTGCAAGAGGGTTCTCTTTTCTCCACACCCTCTCCGGTATTTGTTGTTTGTAGATTTTCTGACGATGCCCATTCTAAGTGGAGGTATCACCTCACACCAGTGAGAACCGTGTCTTCTTCTCGATAGCATTCCAGAGCCGAGCACTCAGTAGGTTTCAGCCAACATTCGTGGAATGAAATAAATGAATTCATTTCTCAGGAAGCGTCCAAGAGACTTGACGGGTCCTTGTCAGATCTGGTCCCAGAGGAAGGCGGAAACTTTCCATCATTCTTCCTTCTTTCACAGCGGCAGAGAGTGCCGGCTGCCGCCCCATGGCCACGCTCCCCACCTCCTTCCTGAGCAGCAGATCCCAGCTAATGGCCTACGGGTCCCTGCTGCCCTTGCAGCTCGAGCACAATGAAATGAGCGTGGATGCTGACCGGAGCTGTGGGAGGAGGGGCTCCTTAAGAGGTGGACAGCCAGCCGGGGGTGCCCCTTTTGCCCTGTCCCCTGTCATTGACTGGGTTCCCTCACAAGCTGACTCTGAGTCAAGGATTCAAGCGTAATGGATTTTTTCAGAGTAGCGCCATGGGGAGGTGAGTCGGAGAAAGGGAGGAACGGTGCACAGCACACGGATGGGCAGTCACTGCTGTGGGCGACGACTCAGTGCTGCTGGGACCTTCGGGGAAATGGTGCAGAACACACCTCTCAGACTTATCCCACCAGGAGGCGAAGAAGCTGAGGTATTTATCCGCCAGCTCTTGTTTATCTCTGAGGACGGCTTGAGGGTACTTCCTGTTTTCAGCCCCTGTTCCTGAGCTGAGAGTGAATCTCCTGGCAGAGTCATGGGGGCTTACAGTAGGGCAACCTTGGCCTATATAAGAACAGTGAGAGTCATCAGCAGTTCTCCTTACACTCCCAGTCCCTTTCTTCCTCCCTGGAACACAGAGTTGATGTCCGGAGTTTCAGCAGCCATATTTGACCATGAGGCAAACCTAGGTATGGAAACCACACGCTAAAGATGGAGAAGCAAAACCACAAAAACAAAAACCAAAATAAGAAGAATAATACCTGGGTCTTAACTAACACCACAGAGCTGCCATCACAACCTACTTTCAAACCAGAGAGGTAAATAAATTCTCATCTTAAGCCACTATTATTTTAGATGTTTGTTAGCAGCAACCAAATGCTCCTAACTGACAGGTCATGCAATGGCCATGTTCCTCACTCCTGTTATGAGCCCTAATAATGCTGCCATGGGTGATCATGAGAGGGAGAAGGGGGATACTCTAATGATACCAAAATAACAGCTAACACATAATGTTTCTTCTGCACTTAAGCACTTTATGTGCCTTAACCTGTTTAGTCTTCATAACAACCCCAAGAAACAGATACGATTATTATTTCTATTTCATGGATGAGACTGAAGCACAGAGAGGTTGAGCCACTTGTCCAAAGTCACACAACTAGTAAGTAGCAAAGCTTGGATGTGAACCCCGGGCTGTCTCGCTCTGGAGCCCAACTCCAATCCGCTACAATGCATCACCTTCTCCCTCAGCCTCTCCTGATATCCTTGAAAAGCCATTTCATTCCCCCACCTGCTCCCTGCCTTGAAACTTTCCAGAATGACAACTTTGATACTTCACATTATAAGTGAAATAAACCCATCAGGCTTAACAAAGAAAAGAATATGATTTCTGAACAAGCCTTTCTCAGGACAAAGATTAAATTGCCTCTTTGCAATTTAACAAAGCTCTTTATAGAAGAGGGGATGGAGGGTGGAGAGAAAACTCCTCAGAACCTGAGGAGAAGGCGTTGGGCTCCATAAAGCCTCGGCAGCCGAGGGCACGTGGACGTTCCCGAGCGCGTCCAACAAGAGAGCAGCAGGGCCTCTGCCCTATGCCGGACTGTATGCTGGGCCTGAGGATACAGCCGTAAACAAGACCACAGAGATCTCAGCCTCATAAAGGCACAGTCTGGGGAGGAGTGAGACATTAATCACGTTGTCAAAGGCATAAATGTAAAAGTATGATTGTGATAGGAGGGTCTGACCTTGACACGTGCAAAAGGCCCTGTGGCTGAAATGATTAAATGCGATAAAACGTAAACCTTTTAAGACACAACTTGCTGAATGGGAGCATTATGGGTATTTCCTCGGGCTGATGCCAGCAAGCATTTGCATCAACTAAGAAATTTCCCTTGTTGTGATTCTGCGCTCCACAAGCCACCCACTGGCTTGTCTTCCGCGGCAAGGTCTGCTTAGGAGGAGAATCGGGCTGGTCACTCGGACCCAACAACAGGAATTTCTTATTATAAGCAAATTTGGTGGCATTCTGGTCTGACGTAAGAACTCGGTTAAGATGTGAGATGGGCCCAGCTAAGCAAGTTGGTGCAATCAGGGGTCTCAGCCAGGGTTGATGTCTCTGACCTACTCTAATTTCACCCAGATAATCAGCCCCACCCAGTGAGCCAGCCCTTTGCAAGTGGACATTCTCCACCCCACCCCTCACCCACTGGAGTTACTGTGAGGATTAAAAATAAGGGGTTTGGCAGCCGCATAGCACAGGGAGATCAGCTCGGTGCTCTGTGACCGCCTGGAGGGGTGGGATAGGGAGGGTGGGAGGGAGGGAGACGCAAGAGGGAAGAGATATGGGAACATATGTATATGTATAACTGATTCACTTTGTTATAAAGCAGAAAGTAACACACCATTGTAAAGCAATTATACCCCAATAAAGATGTAAAAAATATATATAGTTGACAAAAAACGCTAAGTACTTTTTACGTATAATCTTATTCTTAACTTCTTTTAGTAAATTAAAATGTCAATCAATTTAATTATTTCTCAGCCATTTCTTGCTAAGATCTAATAAACACGTTCCTTTAGCTTATGAAGAAATTATACTGGAATGTTTTCTTTTATCCAATGCTGGCAATATTTTTTAAACTTTCATATTATATAACAATTTTACATCATGTTAAAATCTTGCCGTAGCATCAGTCTTTAGATTACAGCATCCTTTTCTTATATTCATTTGCTTTTATCTGCTGTGGAGAAATTCTTTTATTTCGTACTTCTTTAAAGTTTGTTTTACATCTCTTTGTCAAAAATGTCAGCCATTTATTTACCCCATGTAGATTTGAAAGAAACAATAAAAACAATTCTTGTTTTAAAAAAAAAAAGGGGGGTTGCTTGGGAGACAGTATGTTTCCTTTTCATCATTTCCCAGATTTCAGACAAGAATCTCAGCCTGGCTTCAGGCAAACCCGGTGCTGCAGGAAGCCCTCAGCTCCTGCGTCTTTCCAGACATCAGCTGAGGGTCTCAAACATCCTAAGAGCAAATGTAAACTTTGCATTCTGTGTCTCCACGTGAAAGAGGAGGCCGCTGGCCCCAGCAGCAAACAGAGACTGCATTGACATGTCACCCCACGACCTCATTTCTAAATTCAAACAAGGTAATGTCTCCCATAATGGGCTGTTGGGGCCTCCCTGCCCTGAGAAGGCATATTTTATCATCGCCTTGTTGGACCAGGATTCAGAAAGGGCTCACCAGCCGCCTGACAAGGCATCACAGTGTCCCCTTGAAAGGTTGTTGCCAGCTGTGAGCCCATCACTGTGAGTCTGGGGGGACCAGGCCAGATGCCAGCTCATCTGCCCACAGCTTGGCCCCATCCTGGGGTCCACCCTGTTTGCAAGGCTCCCCCCGGGAAAGATGCTCAGTGTGGCCGGGCCAGAGCAGGTGCGGAGAAGGCCGTTCCTGTGCCAGGAACTGCTTCTTCCCTGCCAGGGTCAGTGTCAGAGGGCACCTCTGGTCCGGCTCACGCCTTATTACTGGGGATGTTGAGACCACAGTGAGGGAAGGACATGGCCAAGGTCACAAAGCAAGTCAAAGCACAGCCAAGAAGAGAAGAGAGAAACTCATCTTCCCTCTACCCTCCACCGGCCAGCCCAGAGGGGCACGGCAGCCCCACCCAACAGGTCACCCAGACTGCTCACGTTTCAGGACCTGGCTGGGCTCCCCCTTCTTCCAGACCCCTCCTGACCATTCAGGCAGGCAGCAGGTCCCTTGTCCCAGCCCCACTGTCCCGAACTTCTCCGAGCACATCACTGAGCCCTGTGTTGGCCCTGCCTGGACACTTGTCTGACTCCTCATAGCACAGACCCCACGAGGGCAAGGGCCGAGGTGTGTGCCTTTATGCCGCACTATGGAAGAGGCACCCACGCTCGCAGATGTACGCACTCGCACAGGCACACGCTTATACAGGCCCACATTCTCACACAAGCTCAAACTCCCACAGAGACACACACTTAAACACACATGCACACACACTTATACACACTAGCACACACCCTGTGAATGAAGGGATGGATGAATGACACACTCACCACCCGTTGCACATTCTTGATTTCACACTCCTGGATCTCTGTCCCAGCAGGACCAGGCTGGCCGCTGAAAAGAAAAGGATTCTGTTGTCCTAGTGGTGCTCTGATTTGCTTTGTGACCTTGGCCACCCTGGCCCCCCATCAAGGCCTGTTTCTCTGTTAGTCAGAGGGGTGGACCATGTGCCCACTTCTCACTCGAGCGTGCGTTCATGACTTAGCACGAGCCCAGACTGCAGAGGTGAGCGGGCTGCGTTGGATCCCGGGCCAGCGCCCACCAGCTGTGTGACTCCAGCTGAACCATTCAACCCCCCTGAGCCCCAGTCTCCTCAACTGTAAATGAGCGTAGTAATAACCTCCTCACAGGTCTGCAGCACTGGACAAGCATTTGGTTTCTCCTAGTTTAGGGTACCCCAAACACAGAGCCTGAGGCAAGGGTTTTGGTGCAAGTAGTTTAGGGGAGGTGGTCCAGGAGGGGAGGGAGTGGAGAGCAAGGCAGTGAAGAAGGTAAATGAATACAAGGTGTGATAGAGTGGCCCCCCTGTGGCCAGGGACCTGCTTAGAGACTGTGTAGGACATGCCTCAACATTGCCCCACAAAGGGCCAAGGGGTCTTGACCTCCCAACTCCTGTCTGTCATTGACTGAGGCTGCCCCTGGGGAGGGTAAAGGAGGACGTCTTAACTCCCCAGCACTTCTGCTCTGTCTCTATGCTTGGGCTCAGAATACTCCACCTGTGGCCAGAGAAACCCTGAGGCTTCAGAAGTGCAGGAAGCCGTCAGCAGCCGAGCTCCAGGGTGGACCATGGAGATAGGGTGGGCCACTGACAGCATCTGCTAGAGCTGCTGACATCACCGTCATCAGCCACAGCAGCGGCGTCACAGCATCATCACTGCTATATCATCATCATCTTCTTCATCACTGTCTTCATCCTATGCCCAAACATCAACCCGAACACAGACCTTACACCTTTCACAAAAATTAACTCAAACAGGATCATAGACCTAAGTGTAAAATGCAAAGCTAAGAAACTTTGAGAAGGAAACAGGAAAGAATTCTAGGTGACCCTTGGTTGGGCAATGAGTTATTAGGTACCAAAAAATGGGATCCGTATGAATGAAATAATCTATAAGCTGGACTTCATTAGTATTAAAACTTCTGCTCTGTGAAAGACACTGTTAAGAAAATGAGAAGACAAGCCATAGACTGGGAGAAGACATTTGCAAGAGACACATCTGATAATGGACTGTTACCCAAAATATACAAAGAACTCTCAAAACTCAACAATAAGAAAACACACAACCCAATTTAAAAATGGGCCAGAAACCTTCACAGACACCTCACCAAAGAAGATATACAGAGAGCACATAAGCATATGAAAAGTTGCTCCACATAATATATCATCAGGGAAAGGCAAATTAAAACAACAGTGAGATACCACGACATACCTATTAGAAAGGCCAAAGTCCAGAACACTGACAACACCAAATGCCGGTGAGGTTGTGGAGCCGCAGGAACGCTCGTTCAGTGCTGGTGGGGAATGCAGAAGGTGCTGCCACTTTGGAAGACAGTTTGACTGTTTCTCATGAAACCAAGCTCTTCTCATGGGATCTGGTGATCAAACTCCTTGGTATTTATCCAAAAGAGCTGAAAACATGTCCACACAAATACCTGCACATGGATGTTTATAGCAGCTTTAGTCATAACGACCAAAACTTGGAAACAACCAAGATGTCCTTCAGTAGGTGGATAAATAAATAAATAAACGGTGACGCATCCAGACAGTGGAATGTTGCTCAGCACTAAAAAAGAAATGAGCTAGCAAGCCATGAAAAGACATGGAAGAAGCTTAAATGCATATTACCAAGTGAAAGAAGCCAATCTGGAAAGGCTACATGTTATATGATTGCAACTATATGACATTCTGGAAAAGGAAAGATTGTGGGGACAGTAAAAAAAGATCAGTGGTTGCCAGAGGTGGGGGCAGGGGGAGGAAAGGATAGGCAGAGCACAGGGGATTTTTAGGGCAATGAAAGTAGTCTGTATGATACGATAATGGTCGTACGTGACATCAAACATTTGCCCAAACCCGTAGAACGTACAACACCAAGAGTGGACCCTATACTACAAAATAGAATGGTCAGGGAAGAGCTGGTTGAGGAGGGGACGTTTGAGCAAAGACCTGAAGGAGGTGTGTGGTGAGCCATGCCGGCATCTGCGGGAAAAGCATTCCAGGCAAAGGGAACAGCCAGTGCAAAGGCCCTGAGGCCACAGTGTGCCTGCAAGGAAGCCAGTGGGGCTGGACGTAGTGAGCAAGGGGGGAGTAGAAGGAGGTGAGTTTGGACAAGTGGCAGGTTTTGTGGACATAGATCAGGTAGGGCCCTGAGACCATTTTAAGAGCTTTGGGCTTTACTGTGAATAAAACGGGAACATTGCAGGGTTTTGAACAGTGGCTTGTCACGCTCTGACCTATAATTTGGAGCAAAGTGGGGTGAGGACAGAAGCAGGGAGACCGGGGAGGGGGCCATGGCCATGGCCCAGGCTGCAGAGCCTGCTGGCCTGGCCCGGGGGATGGCAGTGGAAGTGGCAGGTGTGGCGAAATCTCTGTAGGTGTGGGACATAGAGCCGACTGGATTTCCTGACTGGGCGGAGAGGGTCTTTGCAGTGGGGGGGGGCGATCTTGGGGAACCCGCATTTCCCAGGAGGCCCCGGCTGAGCAGCCTCCCTCAGCATCAGTGCCCGAGGGCTGGCACCCTTGGGAGGCTGTCGTGGAAAGAGAATAGTTTCCCCAGAGAAGATGATGCTCTCCCGAGTGGGGCTCCTGACCCAGGAAAAGGCTCCGAGAAAGGTGGGAAGCCGGTATTCTTTTGTCCCGAGGAGAACATTCTGTGGCCATGAATCTTCATTCAGCCGTCACCAAAGTGACAAACATCCCCACCTCCCTGCTGCTGCCGCCTGGCAGTCGCTCTGTTTACAGGATGTCTAGACAGTTTGGGGGGGTCGGGGAGTGGAGTCCCAAGGCAATTCTCAGACTGGGCACATGGCTGTTTCTGCAGAGAAGAGCTAAACCAAGAGGCAGAAATCTGCCTCTGTCTGGAGAGTTCATTAAGTAGGAATACGCTTAATTCTTTTCTTTTTTATCAGTTGACAGCTTCCAACAGATAAAGCTTATTTTATTTAAGCTTTCACACGCCTGGTGAGATAAATAGCCCTGAATTCCAGTCTTCACTTTCAGGGGAAAAAAATTAAAACGGATGAAATCAGAATCTTGAACAGGTTTCTTGAAACTTGGGCAAGGGTGGACCCACGTGACTGGGACTGAATTCAACCGACCCCACTCTGCGGGGAGCGTGGAGGGGTGGGCAGGCCCCCGAGAAGGACATAAGAGAACTGGTCGGTGGAGATCGTTCTAGAGAGGACACTGCCCAGCTTCCATCCCGGAGGGCTGTGAGGAAGATAGACGGGGCTGCAGGGACCATGGGTTCGGTTCCGGCCCGGCTACCGTGAGCTGCCGTAAAACTTTGTCCCTTGTGCCTCAGTTTCCCCAGCTGGAGTGCTGTGAGCTCACGGGCACAATGTGGGAACAGGTCCCTGGCCCAGAGATGGCAAGCGTGTGCCGTCCCCTCCGCGCGCTCCAGGGAAGGAGATCTGGGATGCAGTCCTGCCTACGAGCAGCATCTGGCCCTGACCTCGGCTTCCAGTCTGAGCCCAGGAGCCCTCTCACAAGGCCAGGGCCCTCTGAGATCCACACGGAGTTGGGGGGTCACATTTCGGGGAAATGGGGGCTCTGAGCGGCAGCGACAGACACTGGAGCTGATCTCACGGAGAAGCAGCTTGTCAACAGGAGCCGGGGGCTCACAGAACTACCCGGATGGAAGGAGACTTGGGCTCCAAAAGGCAAATCGTGATCCAAGCGTGGGAGGATGGGGGGAGCCTTCCGAGTGAGGCCAGTGCTTGCCGCGTGCTGAGGACCCGCGGTGGCTGCCAGCGCTGGGCCGGGACTTCTGCTCGCATCTGAGCTATTAGGGCTGGACCCAGGACCGCCCCACGCAGAGCCCCACTCACCTCCTGGGTGGCCAGGGGGCACCCAGACCTCAGACTCCCACCCTGGCCTGTCAGGGCTGGGCCCTGGGCCCCTGGCTCCTGCTCTGCCTCTAACCCAGGTCCAGGGACCTTCCCCCCGCACCCCAGCTCACGCTCAGAGGCAAGTCCTGGGCCAGGGCCGGGCCTCCAGCCCGGGACACTGAGTCCCTTGGATCTGTCCAGGCATCTCCACGGTGGATTCCCCAGATCCCAGCTGCTTTGTGTCACTAGTTCCTGATCCCCAGCCCGTCAGTGGGTCTGATCAGAAAGTGGAGAAATACCTGCAGTGGCTCCATGAGTCCACCTGTTACTGACCCACTTGGAGTTTTGCATTAAGTCAGTTGGAAAAAATTGCTTTAAAAAATAGTACGAGGGAGGGAGTAACAGGACAGCTCGGGGTTCTTTGGGGCGTTGGAGTGCTTTGGGGTCCGGACTATGCTGGTGGATCCAAGAAATGCACAGGGGGCAGGACGACACCGACACAGGAGGGCAAGGAGAGTGTGGAAATCGGGAAGCACGACGGGCTCATCTTGGTTGTGACATTGTCCTGTCGTTCTGCAAAATGTTACCATTGAGCAGAAACCAAGCAAAATGCACAGATGATCTCTCTGGGTTATTTCTTACAGTTGCATTTGAATCTATAATGACCTCAGTAAGATAAATAACTTGTTTTTTTCTATTTTTTTTTTTTTTTGCAGTACGCGGGCCTCTCACTGTTGTGACCTCTCCCGTCGCGGAGCACAGGCTCTGGACGCGCAGGCTCAGCGGCCATGCCTCACGGGCCCAGCCGCTCCGCGGCATGTGGGATCCTCCCGGACCGGGACACGAACCTGCATCCCCTGCATCGGCAGGCGGACTCTCAACCACTGCGCCACCAGGGAAGCCCACAAACAATTTTTTTTTAATGAAGACCCCTGAACCTGATGACCTTTGAATGCTTTTAATGCATTCATTAATTTATTCCAAAGGTTCAATCAAACTGTTATTCAAAAAATATACATTAAGCAGTGTGTTAGTCAGTGGGCTGCCACAACAAGATAACATAGACTGGGTGGCTTGACATGAGATCTAAATCACAGGAAGAATCCGACCCATGAGGTTCAGGGCCAGAAGGTTCCAGAAAGAGGAAACTGCAGAGCTTGGGCTGTGAGGTGGGAATAAGCCAGCCCGTCTGAGGTCAGCAAACAGCGGGCTGCAGAAGGACAGGGCATATGAGGAAGATGGTGCGGGCTTGTCCCGGACAGAGCTGAGGGGCCTGCATAGCACAGGTGGGTCAGGGGCCTTTGTCCCTGGTGACATGAGGAGTCCCCAAAGGTGACATGATGAGTTTTTAAGTTTTTAAAAGATCATTGTGGCTTCACATTCCTTCCAGCCCAGAAGCTATATGCTAACTGGTATTTGTAAAGTGTCCGGCCAGGACTAGGTGTGGTCAGACCCAGGAGAGGCCCAGCCTCTGTCCCGTCTGGCATCTGGTTGGTCAGTGCAAAGGGGAGACTGAGGGTCCAGGGTCCCCACCACAGGTCCCGGCAGAGGGTCGGCTCCTTGGCCTCCTGGAGGTGACACCAGCCCGTGGTCCCCCCGTGAGCACCCAGGCCCTGTCTGCCCCCCGGCTCCATAAACAATCCCACCCCCCAGGCACAGGCACAATCGTGGCATCTCGATCCAGGCGCCCCACAGCAAGGAGTCACCCCCAAGCCAAGAGGTGACAGTGGGGCGAGGGAGAGGAAGGCCACCCCCAGTCTTCCCCACCTATCAGGGCTGTTCCGGAGGGGCTGCCCCAGAGGCCCAGGTGCTCAATGCTTGACGGAGAATTCCCCAATTCATCCGTTGCAGCCGGATCTAAAGCAGAACAGAATTCAGACAGCTTCTCGTATGAGGTTTATTTCTAATTAATTCCTCACTGGCACATGCAGAATCTGCACTTTCTCTCCCTCCCGGCTCTTCCAACCCCATACATATTTAAGAGCCTGACAGCTTTCCTCGTGCTAAATATAAACCATGTTTTAAGCTGGGCGTTCACTGGGAGTCGGTGGTCTTCGCCTGAACGTCCTGGGGTGGTTCTGTGCTTCTGTTTCCTGCCGGCGGGCATGTGGGTGCCCCACACAGCCATCGTCGCTCAGTCCATCCACAGACTCAACGCGAAGTGGACACGTGTCGTTTTGTCTGTCTAGCATCTGTCCCTTCTCCTCTGGGAACATCGCCCCATTTTTCCTCTGGGGAATAGAGCTGACACCACATGTGAGTGTAGGGTGGTGCCTGACCCAGATCTGGCCAATCACAATGATGGATCCCTCCAGCCACAGTGACTGGTTCAGGGATGTGCCCATCACCCAGAAGGCACCCAATGTGCCCATTGGCCCCCAAAAGGGGCCAATGAGAGACTTCTCTGGGACTTCTGCCAGAACTGGAAGGATAGAGGCACTCTCTTTTCACTTAAGCCACTATGTGAATGAGAGGAAATTCTAAAGCTTCTGGCAGCCTTCTTGTCACCAGGAAGGGAAAGC